ATTTCCTCATAAATTATCAAAATATGGGATGAGAAATGTAGGGAATGTGCTTTGAATGATCAAAGTTGAAATTTGCCTTGAATAAGCAAGGTGTTGACACTTTGACTAAGATACTGACACAGCAGGAGCAAGGTATAAAACAGTAGCTAAAAAGGTTCCAAACCCTTGGTCAAGGTTCTGGACACTCAATTGGAGGCATGGCTGGTGCCTTGTTCTAGAGACATCGTAGTGTGAACACCTTAGCAAAGAATTGGCAGCTTTACTTTGTTTCCTAACCTAAATTTAAGTGAATTTTGAAATTCTAATTAAGGAGTGCCTAAATAAAGTATTTAAAAAAATCTTAAAAATTTTATGAAGTTTTAGTGAGATTTAGTTTCCAAATTTTAAAAGAAACTTTCGGAGCTTAAATTTGTACTTCTAGTAGGAATCTAAAAATCCTACTTAGATCTAATATAAATATGTGTTGTTGATAAACATAAGATGAGTGGTAAAGACATACCTTTGGTGTTGACATCCCACGCTCATGGGGGTGACGAGTGGCAAGTGAAAAGATAGAGAGATGTAATAAGAATCTTGAGAGACATCTTAAGAAGATTAAGGGTATATAGAAGAGATAGAGAGTAACCTTCTAATATTTAATATTGTAACTCTTTTCCCTTGATTAATAGATCTCTCATTTTGTTCTGTGATTTTTTTTATAGAAGACTTTTCCCGTTAAATAAGTATTTTTTTCTTATTATTTTATTTTATTAGTATTCGCTTACATAATTCTTTGGTGAGTCACATCCCAACAATTAGTATCAGAGGGAATTTTATTCCCAATGGTGATATCAGAGATCAAAGGGAAATTTCTTAATCTCCGACAGGGAACTGCATAAGGAAATGATATATGGACAGTTTATTAATACAACTTTATATCTCTGTGCCATTAAGTCAATAGAGACATATAACATTATAGTCTTGTAAAGTGTAAAAATCAACTATTTAATGATAAGTTTGGTTGTCTGAAAGAAAATTTGTATATTAAAATTGTCCTCAAATCATTTCCGATAGGAACTAACACTGGAGTTTACGCTAAAAATGTTTATTTTTGGATATTGTATGGCTTCATCTAGATTAAATCATTATATAGCAGTACAACACTTTCTAATTTGTAGAGTTCCTGTGGACTATTAATTCCAACTATTGAACTTGCATTTAATCTTTTTTTTTTTTTCTACACAAATCGTAGGCTTTGAGTTTTGAATTTGATCATGGCAATGAACCCTTTTCTGGCCAATGTACTAGCTAATGCCACTGGTAATCTAGTATCTAATTGTGTGGAAGGAGTAGCGAATTATGTTGGAGAACATATTGGTTTGTTAAACGGATTAGAATCGGAGGATAATTTTGAATCAATATTGAAAGAAGAAGCAGAGAGGCTACGGGCTTTAAGAGATGATAATGAGCGGGAAATCCGGCAGAATAAAACCAAAACTACCTCTAGCTGTTACAACCAGTGGCTTGGTAGTGTGACCAAAATTCTCCTAGAGCTGGAAACATTACAAGCTGAATGTGAACAACAAAGGAATGTATTGATAAAGTGTGCCATTGGATCAAAGTTTTGGGAAAAAGTGAGAAATATTTTGCAAAGAGTCCAAAAGCTTATGGAAGAGGGGAAATTTCCTAGAGGTTTTTTGATTGATAGACCTCCAGAACCTGTAATAAAGCTGGGATCAGTACCGGACATCAAAGCAACTGCCACACTCCAAGGACATTTGGAGGAGATACTACTGTTGCTCAGTTGTGAAGAAGTGAAGACTATTGTGATTTGGGGGCCATTGGGTGTCGGGAAGACCACAATAATGCAAAACTTGAATAATCATGAAAAGCTTGCAAAAATGTTTCAAATGGTAGTTTGGATAACGGTATCAGAGGAGAGGACTATAGAGAAGCTGCAGATAGAGATGGCAAGTCAGCTTAAATTGAATTTGCAAGGCACTGAAACTACCCGTGAAGTTGCTAGAAGCATATCAGAACAGTTGAAAGATAGAAAATACTTGCTCCTCCTAGATGATGTCAAGGGTGTCATTGATCATGATCAGCTGAATAGTATTGGAGTGCCGGATAACAAAAATGGTAGCAAAGTGGTATTAACAACTGAAGATCGTAGAGTTTGCTCTAAGATGGAATTAGTCAGGGACATAGAGGTTGAAAAATTAACTCAACATGAGGCTTGGGAGATGTTTAAACAAATAGTAACTGATCAAAAAATTAAAATTCCTGGCATTAAATCAGTTGCTCAGCGGGTTGCCAAGGAGTGTGGTGGACTCCCCCTTGTGATAAAGACAGTGGCCAGTTACTTTAAATTTAAAGACAGTGCTGCTGAATGGAGGAATGGCCTGGAAGAGCTCAGAAATGGTTCTGAAGTTGAGATCCCACATTTAACACAAATACATGCATTCTTGAAGTGTTGTTATGATGACTTGAAAGATGAGAACAAAAAGAGATGCTTCCTTTATGGTGCACTACATCCGGCAGACACAAACATATCCACAGATTATTTGGTGATGTGCTGGGCAGCTGAAAGGTTCCTTGGCAATGTTGATGACAGGAGGAGTTTTCGCACTGCATGTGATAAAGGGTATGTCATATTACGGTATCTAACAAATGTCTCCCTATTGCAGACAGGTAAAAGGATGGAACATGTCCAAGTGAACAACGTTGTGCGACAAGTTGCACTACATATTTCCTCAGAAGACCATCACTATAAATTTCTAGTTGGAGATCAAACTGAAACTTCACCTGCTTCTCAAAAGGCAAGTGACTGGGAACAAGCAACAAGGATCTTTATGATTGATGCAAAATTGAAGGACTTACCAAATTTCCCAAGATGCAGCATGTTGTTGTCACTACTTCTACAAAGGAATACTGACTTGAAAGCACTTCCTCGATCTTTTTTTGAAAATATGCAAAAGCTTCAAGTTCTAAACTTGTGCAGAACTGGAATAATGTCCCTGCCGCACTCTTTTGCAAATTTGTCTGAACTTAAGGCACTTTTTTTAAATGATTGTATTGGTATGACATGCTTGCCTTCCCAAATCAAACAACTTTGTTGTCTTGAGGTGCTTGATATTCGAGGCTGCAAGGTAAACTTCATACCACCTTCTATTGGAAATTTGGTTCAACTAAGGTGTTTGCGGGTTTCATACTATAAACCAGCCACACGAAATGGCTATGGAATGGAGATACTACATTACAGTGTGATTTCAGAGCTTGTCAAATTGGAGGAACTGGTGATTGATGTGATCTCTTATGACCAATGGTGCATTGAGGCTACTAATGTTATTTTGCAAGTGGCTTTCTTGCAGAAGTTAACTTCTCTTAAGATATGTTTTCCAAAACTAGAAGCCCTTTGGACTTTGATGGAAAGAAGGTCGGATTGGCAGGATCGCCAGAAGTTATCAAAATTTTGGTCATTTATTGGTTGCCAAAACAGTAGTTCTCTCGAAATTCTTGACTATTTCAGCTATCCAATAGATAGATATTTGAGATACGACTATGACGGACATCATATTGGCTTCACCATTTCTAATATGTTTCCTGAGACAGATGCATTGGAATTGACTGGCCACAACAACATTTCATGCTTCTCAGACTTCATGCAAGCATCATGCCTCAATGGAGTTGTTGGTTGCCTGGTTGAACGATGTAGCAACATGGTAACCATTATTGGTGGAAATAATGCAGGAGGCACAAACATCCTTCCATCTTTGGAACAATTACATTTGAGGAATTTGCTAGATTTGAAAAGCATTTTTGAGGGGCCATTGCCACAAGGAAGTCTATCAGAATTGCAAACAATAGCAGTGAAAGGTTGCCCTTTGTTGACAGAGATATCCTCAAATGGCCTAATTCAGCAACTGCCAAAACTCACAAAATTAACAATTGAGAGCTGTGATGAAATTAAACAATTGATTCAGGAGTCTAGTGGCAGTGGAGCAATGCCAAATCTTGAGCTCTTGGAATTAGTCGAGATGAAAAAGTTAGAAACCATATGTGCAGAAGAGTCATTGGTATGGCCCAAGTTAAAGGAGCTTCGGATATACCAGTGTAGAAAGCTGAAAAGACTTCCTTTCAACAGAGAAAATG